AAATTCACATAGACTGCTAGGTCTCATGCTGTTCAGTTCATAAGGCACTGTAAACCAGTAGCTTTTTTTTTTTTTAAAGATTTATTTATTTACTTATACAAGCACTAGGTGCAGTCAGAAGCACAGGAGGGTGAGAGAATTCACCAGAGCCAGAGTGGGGAACAGAACAGGCAGAAGAACCGAACAAAGTACACTGCTGAGGGGAGCAGCGGGTGGCAGGAGAGGTCTGCGCGCCATGTGGGACCCTCGTCTGGTGGCCAGGGACCGAACCCACCCTGCAAAGGCTGCAGGCAGCTTCACAACCCAGCGCTCAATCACTGTGCCACCGGAGAGGCCCTAAACCAGTAGCTTTACAGCAATTTTAAATTTTCTTGGAGCCACAATATTCTCTCCATTCATTTTATTTATTGTACTTCTCCTATATTCTAGACTCTCAAAGAGGTTTCAAATACTTTGTGCCCTCAGCTACCTTTCAAATTAACATCTTGATTAAATGCCTTAAATATTCATATTCTTTAATCCATTCCTGACATAAGATGCCAGGGAAAGTGGGGGGTGACTGCAGCCAGGCATACCTACTGCTCTCAACTCTGCTGACTTCTGTGTCCTTCTCTCAGAGAAAGAGAAAGCTCAGACTTGAGCATCCTGAACGATGCTCAGGGCATCGTTCTGAAGGCCTCCTTCTGACTGACCCCATTGTATTGCTGAGAACATCTTGTCACCAATGCTGAAAATTGGGTTGGAAATCTGATAGGGCATCTGCTTCGAGAGCCCCAAATATGGGGCAGGGAAGAAGCTGCTTTTCTCCTGGAATCTTCTGCTTGTCTCTTCCTTGGGCATAGTGCTACATAGAAGATGGCTATGCAGAAGCTCTGCTAGTGTGAATCTTTGTTTCTTTTCATGTCTTTGCCCCAATAACACAGGTCTCTGGCCCCTTGTTCATCCTATCTCACCTTTACCACAGCTCTAATTCCAGATTCATGGACCTGCTCTGTTGAATGAAAAGCAAAACAATGTGAAATACCCGTCAGGATGCCTTTCTTCAGCTCCTTCCTGTGTGGCCCTTGCAAACTCCTCCATCTCTCACCTGTCTCACTTTCCTGATGTCTCAAGAACCTGACCAGTTGTTCTAAAACTTTAATACAAAAGAGTGACTTCTGGCATCTGTGATGTGTGCTGGCATCAGGCTGTCTCCATGGAGTTTAAATTGGTAGAGCTGAGTTACAACCCAGGAATCTACATTCTGAACTAAGATTCTCCCTCTACTTTCCTGGCCCCCCTTCCAAGCAAGGTGATTCTTATGTAAATAATTTTAGAGTTATTCTCTGAGAAACACTTTAATCCTGGGCAGCCACTGCCGTTACATCTATAAATAATTTTCCTTTTTTATTTTTTTTTGTTGTTGTTTTTTGTTCTTTTTTTTCTTTCCTTTCTTTCATTCTCTTTCTCTCTCTCTTTCCTTCCCTCCCTCTCTACCTTTTCTTTCTTCCTTCCTTCTTTCATTTTTTACTGAATGATATTATTAACATAAAAATACAAGCAAATATCTTATTTCATTTAAGGAGAAATACCCAACACCGTAAGTGAATTTGCATAGCCCCACTAGACTTATAATTTCAAATTTAGCACTTGGGTTAGGCGTCAAGGTAATTTAATAGGATAAATGACGTAATTTCTACTGTCCTCTTTTCACTCCAGTGCTCTAAAGGACAATTCTATATTTTGAAGCCATCTCTGAGTACTCTATAGAGAATCTATACAGCAGCATGCGACAGGCTGTGACTTTTCTGTTTAAGATAGTCCATGCTGTGTGTGGCAGGGGGTCAGCCTCACTGTCCAGTCAGAGCCCAGACCAGGTTGTAACACCAATTAACTGGAGGAAGCACCTAAACAGAACCTAACCTTTCTCCTTTAGCCTCTTCAAAGTAGAACAGAGACTGGGGCTAGCTCCTCACCTGGCGACTTGATTAAATATAATAACTTGACTTTTTTTTTTAAAGATTTATTAATTTTATCCAAGAACTGGGGTACAGGCCAGATGTGGGGGAGGGTGAGAGGATTCACCAGAGACAGAGCAGGGAACAGAACAGTCAGACTGACAAAATACACTGCTGAGGGGAGCAGTGGGCACGACAGGAGAGGTCTACCGCACCATGTGGGACTCTCGCCGGCCGGCCAGGGTCGAACCAACGCTGCAGAGGCTGCAGACAGCTTCCCAGCATGGAGCTCAACTGCGTGTGCCACCAGGGGCGGCCCAATAACTTGACTTTTTAAATGAGAATCATGAATCTAACTTAGCTTTATTTTCTTCAAATATGTATGCTGGATAATGCAAGCCTCTTCTATGAAGAAATATCATCACTATTAAGACCATTACATTTCTTAAATTTGTCGATGTATCTGTCAAAATAATGGTGACTTTGGAGTAGAACCCTAGAAGAGTGTTGGGAGGTCTTTATCAGAGCTCTTCTTTCATTGCTATGTTCTAAGTAATTACCAGAAGGACAAGTTCTCTGTAGCCCTTAGTTAGAGTGACTCACTTTGCTAATAACATAGGAGGATCAAAATTGCAACCTTCGATTGGAATTTACCCTGTGCTCAAACTGTTCTATTGCTAGAAGTTGGAAAGGCTAAAATTATCATAAGCCTAATGGAGATCACTTAATCCATCTCATTTCTTACAGAGAGAATGTTTTGAAATTATCTTAAAGATACTTAGGAAATTTCCATTGCAAAGTAGAGTCCTTCAGGTAAGAACCTGTGTTTGTTTAAGTCCTGGGGCAAGATAGGAGTAGCAGATCATTCTGTTCTTTAACCAAATTACCTGCATTTCAATAAATAGCAGGGTAGTGTTAAAAGTGATTTGACAAGATGTTAGATCCAGACGCAGTACACTCCTTGCTGCTTAGGAAGAATGACCTCGAGTAAAAAGTTTCCACACTTTAGCTCTTGTTTAGAATAGCAGCATTTAAAAGCATTAAGTTTTGTTTTAATAGAACGAGGTTTAGACCACAATTTCTGCTACTCACTGCCCATGTAATCTTGAGAAAACAGCTCAACATCTTAAAGCCATTTTCCTCATCTATAAAATTGGGATAGTAATATTAACCACCTGGTGGTGTTTAAATGATTAAATTAGCTAATATGTATAATAAACTCAGAAGACTGCCCAACAGTTATTTTTTTAGCAAAAGTTAACTTCTCGTAACTATAAGAGGTTATTATCTCCTCTATTAACCTGGAATAACAAATACCTCTTATTTAAATTCATTTTTGGCTTATATAAATAAGAAATTATATAAGTAAATGGGTTATAGAAACTGTAACCTGCACCAATTTATTTTTTTCTTTTTAGTATTAATATTGAGACCACTTGACAGAAGCAGCTTTGTTGCATAGGTGGTGGGACTCCCGAAGAGAGGAGTTGTATTAACTTCCCAGTTACACTGGGACTCCAGTTAAGAATCACAGAATATCCAAAAAACAATGGCAAGAGAACCCATGACACGAGAATGGCATGTAGGTAAATGTGTACATGCCACTACTGCTGCAGTTCACAGTGGTCCTAGGAGTGATCAGAATGATGTTTCCGGATAGAGAAGAAGGATGCTGGTCTTGGGGGAGGAGGTTCACGACAGACAGGGGCCATGTGAGTGACCTGTTCTCCACAGAGAATGCTGGGTTGGCTCGTCTGGACCTCCCATGAGGTCCTTCCCATAAAGCTGCGGCATCACTGAAGTCTGGCTTTCCTTTCTATTTCCCAGTTGCTGTGCTCACACCCTTTCACAATCTTTCTCTTTTTGCTCATCTAGCCTCCTTAAATCCTTTAATTGGAGGTTTACAAAAAGTTGCCTACACTGTAGTGGGAATTAGTCCCGTATGCCTGGGAGTATTTGCAATTTAAAAACTTCCCTGGGTAAAAAAATGCCAAGGACTGAATCAGTTATGGTAACATTTAAGGAAACAATGATGACCAGCCTGAACCCTTTACTGATGCTCTTCAAATTATGGGTATCTGATGAGTTGCATACGCTTTATGCCAAGACCCAGCTTTCCCTGGAGCAGAAGGAAAATGAAAGCAGGAAGCTTTAGCACTAGGCAGGCTTTGCTTGTTGGCATTTTCTTATTACTGATCAATAAATAAGGTCAAAATTACTTGGTTTAAAGAAAGCAAACTTTCATGTAAATTCCGCTAAGTCTTTGGTCATTTCATTCTCACTCATTCAGAATTCATTTTCCTTCATACCTATATTTGATTTCAATTAAAAAAAGAGACAGCTTGCTTAATCTTTCCCACAAACTGATATGGTGTATACCTGAGTGAACGGGACAATTTTCCTTATAAATTATGTATAAAATCCTCAACTGCTGCCTCTCTCTTAGAGACTCAAAAGAAAATTCAATTTCTTTTAGCTTATTTTTTCATGGTTCTTGGGATATTCATTTCAGATTTTCCACTCATTTTTATAAATGTCTTATTTATTCAAGCTCTTCATAGAGGAAAGTAATGCTGCACATTGCTGATTTTATTACTCTGGACAGGTTACAATATCTTCTCAGAGGCCAAAACACTAATTGATTTTGAAGTTTCTGTCAATGTTGAGAGGTCATGTGACACATTGGAGAGGGGGATGTGTGGCACAGTGGTTAGACCCGATTTCACTAAGCATGGGACACTGATTCTAGTCTGTCCCCGACCCTTCCTTAATTCTGTGACCTTGCTTGGGGCTTAGTCACCTTCACTTACAACACGGCAACTCTTTAACTGCCTGAGTCTAAGGCAGCAAGAGAAGGGGGCATTGGAGGAAAAGATCTCAATGTAGCTTTCATTTTTTAGTAGAATTCTTTAGTAGTTCTAGAAAATTCTTCTGGGACTCTTTTAGATGTGTGTTATGATTCTTTTCCATCAATTCCTTAGCAGGCAGTGCTATAGCCATAAAATTCAGAGAATATGAAAATTGAGAAGGGTAGAAAATTAATATCCTTTGTTCTGGTTGCAGATGTCCTTTAACCATGATTCCCAGTTGTGGGAGACTCTGAATTCAATGTGGAAGAAAAGAATGACAGGAGAACTACATAATGAATATAAGGAGCCACAGGCCAGTATCTATTGCCTTTATTCATTTTAGTTAGTGACCAGAGCTGACTTGCTTCCATTTCCCTCAATGAAATATCTTCTGCCTGGACACTTGTGATACAGACCTACCGGAGGTACAAGTGTACAGGAGATGGACATCCTGGTATAGTGCTAATTATTCAAAGGCCCAAACCAAATGTAGCCTCTGAAATATTTCATGTTTTGAAGGGGAAGACCATGTCTTGTATTTTAGAGGTTTTGCAACTTCTCTGTCATGTATTGGCATGCACACAAGAAGCATTTTCAATGATTTGTTGAATTGAACTTACTACCTGAGAGAGCCAATGATGAATTACATCACATTAAACAATACATGAATTGAGCGGGACATGTCATTGATATTTGATGCTCTGTGCAGGCCTTGCTTTGCTTTTCTGGTCTTCTTCTGTAGGGCCACTGGTGGAAGACTCTAGCTTTAACATCCTCAGGTCATTTCCTCCAATTTCAGCTTCTATAGCATCTCTGATGAATGCATTTTGACTGGGGCAGGAGGCTCAGTAGTGTAATGGCACTAACATTTCTCTGCTGCCTTTGAAGTCATAGCTCGGTGGTCTTGCCCTTTCCTATTTCATGGATTTGCTTTCTCCATTTGTTCTTTGTTGATTAGGAAATTGCTGAACACAGAACTTCTCCCTGTCCATAAATATCACCCAAGTTACACAGCATGGTGAGAGCTCTGCTATTTGTTTGGTTCACCGACTTTGGAACTTTTTGCAAATTAAAGGATTTGAAAGGATCTAATATGGTCATATCATCAGATAAATCTTTAGGGTCATGTTCTCCCCTTGGGGTTTTTGTTTAAGTTAGTGTAATAGAAGGTGTACTCGGGCATCCAAGGACAGGAATTAGTTCTCCATTAGAGACCAGATGCCACTGCGTGGGGGATGAGCCTCATTTCTGAGTGAGAAGCCTTGCTTTGTATTTCGGGATTTCAAATTGTTATGCTCTGCTGTGCAACATGGTTTCACTTTCTAGAGGAGTTTTGAAAAGGAATTGCTGTTTTATTGGCACGCTGTCATATGCTTCCTTACAGAAAGATAGTGGGCTTTTGAGATGTAGTTGGATTTCGCGGTGATATTTGGAATGGATGAAATTTAGTAAGTCTAATGAAAAATTTGTTGCGTACTCTCTGTGTGGTCTCAGGTTTGTATTAGGTTTTTTGAAGATGGGAAAAAATCTCTCTTGGAAGAGAAGTTAAAATTTAGTTAGAAACAAAATCATACATACAGGAAACCACAAAGAAGACAGAAGTATCCACAGAAGTGCTTATCTATGTGGTCACAGATGGGAGGGATCACAGAAACCTAAGAAACACCATGATTAGCCTGGCAAAGTGGCCCCTACGGAATTAGTCATATTTTACACATTTCCAGCTGGATTGATAGACCATATATTTTAGGAAAATAACATTATCTAAAACTCTGCAAGCTGTTTTTAATTGCAGCCTTGCAACTAAAACCATTTGTAGTTCTTTAGAAGTTTTATCCCCTCTGCATAGCATTTGTCTTGAAAAATCCAAATAACTCAGCTATCTCCCCTTTTTTTTTTTTTAAAGATTTATTTATTTATTTATTTATTTATTTATACAAGCACTGGGTACAGTCAGAAGCGCGGGAGGGTGAGAGAATTCACCAGAGCCAGAGCGGGGAGCAGAGCAGGCAGAAGGACCGAAGTACACTGCTGAGGGGAGCAGCGGGCGGCAGGAGAGGTCTGCGCGCCATGCGGGACCCTCCTCCAGTGCCGGGGAGCAGCCGGGGATCGAACTGGTGCTGCAGAGGCTGCCGGCAGCTTCGCAACCCAGCGCTCAACCGCTGCGCCACCGGGGAGGCCCTATCTCCCCTTCTTTAGAGTATCTTATGATTTGTTTTTATACATTTAGACTTTTCTTACAAACAGGTAATCAGTGCCAAGCCTCTTAGAAGAGTGGCTGCTACCAATTTCTTGTAGTCTGCCCTATTATAATTTACTCATTTCTACTTGATACATTATTGAGTGTGATTGTTTTTTTTTTCTGTGTTGATCAAGACCTACTTATTTTGTTTCTATTAGGGACCAGTACTTTACTGGTTATAAGGTACACATGAAAAGAGCAAAAACTATACTCCCTGACATCAAGCAGCTTCATGGGGAAGGAAAAATAATGGACATAAAATTTTGAAGAAGTAGTTAGTATTGGGGTGCATAGAGTACAACGGGCCCTGGGCAACAACAGAAATTAGTAAAAACAGGAATGATTAGAGAATGAGAAAATGAAGACTAGAACTGGACTTTAAATGTTGGTAGAATCTGAAAAGGCAGAAAGGATGTCACAAATGACTCTGGGCTCTGGAAGAGCAGTTGAATCTGTCAGCAATATTCATTAAGCATCCAGAAGGCAAACCGATGGGCATCATGAAAAGAGAAAAATCAGGGAGAGCAGAAAGGAGTAAACATTTACTATTTCATTTTAATCTTGCAATTAAGAGTTGGATGAAGCTATTCCTATTTTACAGAAGCAACTGAGGCTCAGAAAGACAATGGCAGAGGTGAATTTAAGCCTGAATCTTAACAACTGTATTTGTCTGTTCTCTTCATGCTGCCTGCCCAGACATTTTGCCATACCCTGTGGAAAGAAAAATACAAAATAAAAAAAAAAATGTGGTCTTGGATTCAGACAACACTGCATTCACTCCACTTTGGAGAAAAAGATGAATACATGGAAAATTACCATGCAAGGACATCCATCATGGCCAGAACAGGAGGTCAGATAGATCTCTAGGCTCAAGGTCATCAAAAGAGAAGGGGACTGGGCTTAGAGCTTGATTTAGCACTGGACTAGATTTTGACAGATTTTATACCAGACTGAAACGGTGACCAACACAGGTGTTTATGAATTTTAGCAATGTTAGTGTCCGGTACAAAATATCAGGACTGGTTTGCTGCTGCTCTTGGCTTTTCTGTTAGTATCTCAGGTACAATCCAAACAAGTGGGCAGTGTGGAATTAGGTAGTGCTCATTGGAGAAAGGAATGTGCCTAGAAAACAAAAGCATGAGAGCCTGTTTATCTGCCTTAATCAGGTCTGGGAGAGGGAGGGGATTGCTGTAATGGAAATAAGTAGAATAGGCAGTTTTATGCCCTAAGTATTTATATCATCTATTAAAGATATTGCTATAGTCCCTTTTCAGTGATTTGCTGGGCAGTTAAATTCAGACTTCAGTTCAGTTTAACACCCTGAAGTGGTTGTTTTACATAATTTATGTCACTAGGATTCTTTTTGAACTACAATCTGACCTTCACAGTGTGAGAAAGAGACTGCAAGCTGAGACCCTCCTTGGTCCAGTGGGACCCCCTACAGGAAGATCAGGAGGCCTGGTTTCTTCAAATTGAAGTGTCAACCTAAAGCCCAAGGGTTGGGTTGTAAAGGCAGATTTATTTGGGAGTATTGAACTCAATTATGTGTTATCTGTTAACATCCACCACTGGACAACTGTCTTAGGGTATATGTCTTGTCTCCACAGTTAGGCTATGAACTTCACAAAGGTGGGCACCGCATCTTATGTCAGATCAAGTTGGTTCACATTTGTGTTCCTCTGGTCTTCCACAAGGTTTTCTTGATTCATTTTGCAAGAGAGAAGGTGTGAGAGTGGGTAGGAAGATGAATGATTATAATAGCCATGCTCAGACTTTCCTTTAAAATCAGTCTAGGGCCTCCCCTGGTGGCGCAGTGGTTGAGCGCTAGGCTGCAAAGCTGCCCACAGCCTCTGCAGCACTGGTTCTATCCCCGGCCGCCGGTGAGGGTCCCTCATGGTGCGACAGACCTCTCCTACCGCGCCTGCTGCTCCCCTCAGCAGTGTATTTCATCAGTCTGCCTGATCTGTTCCCTGTTCTGGCTCTGGTGAATCCTCTCACCCTCCTGCGCTTCTGACTGTATCCAGTGCTTGTATAAATAATTAAAATCTTTAAAAAAAAATAAAAAAAAATCAGTCTATTTTCTATTCACTATACCATATCCTCTTTCCCTTGCTAAACATGTATTCACCTGCCCCTATATAAATTTCTTAGTCTGTGTGAGATTCTGTAATAGAATATCATAAACTGGGTAGCTTATAAACAATGACATTCTATTTTTCCCTAGAGGCTGGGAAGTCTAAGATCAAGGCACCAGTAAATCTGGCGTCTGATGAGCCCACATCCTATTTCATAGGCAGTCGTCGTCTTTCTGTCTCCTGCATGGTGGTAGGACAAGGGAATATTCTGTGGTCTCTTTTCTAAGAGCACTAGTCTCATTCATCAGGGCTCATTACCTAGTCACCTTCCCAAGGATCCACTTCCAAACACCATCACATTCAGGATTAGATTGTAACTTGTGAATTGTAAAGGGACACAAAAATAACTATACTCATATTAATTATATATCTTCCTTGCTTTCCACCCTTCGCCTGCCTATTCAGATTTCTATCAGCTGATGGGTATGCATTGTTTGTATTGCCCAGCACCCCTCTTTCTATTCGGTAATTGCTTTTCCCCATCCATGGGTCATGAGGAGACTATCAGTTACAGTGCGTTCCTCACTCCTGGCTCCAGAAATGCTGTTATGGGAGTCCTCTATCCATGGTGGTCTGTGTACAAGGTGAGCCCCAAACCAACAAAGTCAGCAGGAAAAGTGTCTTTGCTCCTGGGGTAACAAATGGTGAGGACTGTGTGTTTGGAGCTGGGGATGTCTCTTCTCTCCCCTATGAAGAGAGCTGCCAGAGAGAGAAAACAAAGGTTAAGGAACTGAATGCTGAAACACATGTTGAGAGTGTGTTTGTGGGACAAAAAATGAGAACATTATACCTCTAAATCATACACAGTGTGGTAAACCATTGTTATATCAATAGGAAAAATACAACAACATATTACAGTGAACCTCTTGGCTTAAATCCAAAATAAAAAAAAAATAATGAGAGCATTATTTGAACAACTGGATCCAGACTGTTTC